GCGAAAATTGGATCGGGTTGAAGCGTGGGAACGGCTAGCAGATAAATCGGGATTGAGTGGATGACTGGGGTCATTGAGCATCGTTTGAGCGAAATTCTCACATGAAATGATATGCAAATTACACAATTTTGTGATCAGAGTGCTTAAAGAAATAAGAGAAACACAGCTGATAATCACCAAACCGCGACGTAGGGGAATGAAGTCCTTTCTAAGTAGACCAGGGAAAATAACGAGGGAACAATAAAGTATGATAGGAAAAATGTATTGATAAGGAACAAACAGTTTCATCCCTCACTCGAAATTCGTCGTAGCTTGCGCATTTGAAAAGATAAGCGACGCAGTCTACCAACACAAGCTAGCACGTGAGAAGACCACTGGCATTTCGTGGTGTTCTGGTGATGAGTAAAGAATCGATGACTGAGGGATCCAGGGGGTATTCGGAAAGGGAAAGACTAAAAATGCATTCTGAGCATTTACAACTATTCAGTCGGAGACCGAATTGGTTTGAAAATGAATGCCCTTGCAACAAATTGTCGGAAAATGATTCTCTGCCCGATTGGTTTGAGATGGCTTGACATACGACCACATCATCGGTATACTTGAAGGTCTTTGCTGGTGGGATTGAGGGTAAGTCACTGATGAAAGTTGAAAATAGGTAAGGAGAGATCACAGCACCCTGAAGGACTCCAGAATTATTCACTAACGGTTTTGAAATAGTACCGTTTGCTTTCATTCTTTGAGCTCTTTCTATGAAATAATCTTTTAACCATGACAACAAGTTGGTGGAGCAACCGAATGACTCTAACTTCTGCAGGAGAAGAGATCGTGAAACAGGATCAAAAACCGAGGAATAGTCAAGGAAAACGAAATTTTTTCACAGAGTTGAGTTCACAGACCTAAGCAATGGCACGAGTAAAGACTTACGTGCATCACACGGCAAAAAAACCCAATAGGCTTTTAGTTGACAAAAGGTAATTCATTAGTCAAGTAATTATTATTGTGACTCGGAGAGATTGCGACATACGTGGTGGGAAGCAGTCGATAGACGGAGATGGATTGTAAATAATTCCTTTTGCATGACACACACCAACTCACATCGAATCCATTTGATTTACATTCAACAAAAGGTGCTCAGAATTTTTTATCCGGGAATATTTGAGTGATTGTCAGCGACAAGAGAGACACAGAAGCGAACAGTTTGCACTGTCCGTTCATCACTATAGTGGTGGTTCTCTTGTTATGCACTTCAGTGTGATGAACAGCAGACGGGGTGGAACCCCGTCCGATGATGGAAGCCGGTAACGTAAGCCCCACGGGACTTGGATTGGCGAGCCATACAAGCCCCCCCCCCCGAGCTAGGTTAGGTGTGGTATCAACGCGGACAACAGCAAAGCTGCCTACCACCAAAATTGGGTGGCGGTTTGCAATACCTGAAATCGTCGGACTTCTACAATCCAACGTTTAAATCATACCAAATCAGATCACAGACAACAACCTTCCTGCCATTTACCTGAAGGCCATTTTTAATCCACAGTGAGTAGTTGCTCACGCCTGCAACACTGTTTGTCATCATCATCATCATCATCATCATCATCATCATCATCATCATCATCATCATCATCATCACATCATCATCATCATCATCATCATCATCATCATCATCATCATCATCATCTTCCGAATCATCTTTAGGTGCGCGTGACAGAAACACAAAGCAGAGAAAAACGCGTTCTATTCTACGCATAAGATTGTTATGCACAAACCGGTCACCTACCAGGCAAAGTGATTCCAGTAAATTTCACTCCATGATTTGCGTGTAAATTGATCTGTTCCTGCACTGTCTTACAGTTCTCCTCATACTGACGTTGACGTCGCTCGTATTCCGCCCACTGTTCATCCAGGCGGGTTCGTTCCTTGGCCAGTTTCGTATGTTCCCGTTCAATCTCGTCCCGCTGGCGTTGACGTTCTTTTTCCCACTCCTCCGATTTACGTGTGAATGTCTCATAGTCCTGACGCAATTTTTCCGTCTCTTGTTTCACCGTCAGCGTGGGCAGGGCCGCATCCGTGGAATCCGCATCTCCACAACCAGCTCGTGCATTATGTGCCGCCTGGGGATCCTGTTTAATCACTTCCAAGTATGTTTTCTCCAGTGCGTCCCGATCCACTCGTAAGCGTTCCAGCTGAGCGCGAAGCTCCACATTCTCAGTGCGAAGATCACAGATTAGGGGCTGTTCATTAAAAAGAGTGGCGGTGATGGTGGTGGTGAGTATGCAATGGGAAACGATAAGAAGACGGAACGGGAGTGAGGAGAAGAGTATATGAACTGAGAGAAAAAGCTCATAATGAGGAGACATGTCCAGGGAGGAAGTAGAAAACTGATATCAGTACCTATGTAAGGATAGAATTCAGTCAAAATGTATTTGCGAAGAAATTGAGCACATGTAAAGCTGTCATTGTTTACGACATTCAGTTATATCAATCAGTGTCTCTAATAATTCACTAGAGTGCACACGAGAATTTTCACCACAAAGTCTAATACTATCTAAACGTTCAAGTTGCCTGATCAGAATTTAGATAGCCGGATTTCGGGTCTAGGTTTTCATTCGATCACTACGTCTCTAGGCAAGTGTCATAAACCGTGAAAGGCTATCCGATATCACGCGCAACACACAGACCCTAATTCTCATAATTAAAAAAAGTTAAGCACTTGCTCGACCGTGATTATTTAGAACTCTACGCCTAACCTGGGCATGGGTTGTCCGGTATTGCCATCAGACTCGTGCAATGCGGCAGTGTTCGAGCACCGATGATCTCCTTCTGTCCTCTTCAATCGTCTCAGCCAGGTCCGTGCACAATACCGCAACAGCCGGTCGAACTGCTGCGGTATACAGTCGATCCATCACAGACAGGCAGACATGATAACGGTGCCAGAGCGATGTTCACAGAGGCAGATAGTGGATGGAAAAAAGCCAAAGGTGGTCAAGCTAAAACCTGGCATGAGGGTATGAAAACTCTAACCTGGAGACTCGGTCATATAGGTTGCATTAGGCGCCCCGGATGGGGACCTCGGGATCATTTTAATCAATGCTTTGACACACTGATTGATATGGCTGAGTGTCATAAACAGTGGCATTCGTGCATCTTCTCAATGCCTTTGCAACCTTAGTTCACTGAAATTCTCTATTTTCTCTTCGGCTATACTTTCAACTTATCTGTCTTTCTCCCACAGTTTCATCCAAATGGACGACCAAGAGAAAGCATCTGAAACCGGCGCACGGAAGTGCATGGTTAATGGTTGTAAAGGCTGAAACGGCTTCCTCAGTTAGAGCGGGGCAAGGGGGTTATAACCAACTCAATCCTAATGATAGCGTTTCAATTACCTCTTCACATACATCACTATTGTTGAAACTATTCAGTACGTAAGTAAGTATATGCAAGAAGCAGAAGTCGAATTGGCATTTCAGTGGGTGATCTCAAAACGGGCCATGGATAAGATAACAACTTACATAGACTTCTTCGGCAACGTGGTTCAAGTCCCGTAGGAGTATCAAGGCCTCAGCCGAAGGTTGACTCAGCAGTGAGGTACAAGAACCATTTCCCGACCCATCCGCACTATCCCCGATGTTCTCGATGGCCAAGCACTGACCGGGGATAAAACTCAACGAAGGCCTCGGTGGAATGGGAGTGGATACTGCCGAGGTAGATGAAATTTGTCCGGATAAACGGGAGCCCGCCGAAGATGTTGTGGTCGTGGACAAGCACAGATTGGATGGGGGCGGACGAGTGCGCAAGCCTTTCGGTTGTAACGCATTGGTCGGAGACAGATCGAGTGAGTTTTGTGGTTGCACTGTCGGACCGTTGGACTTATCACGAGATGCAGATCGGAATATGCTAGCCACTGTGGTGCTCAACCGATGCGCGTCACGCTATCAGAACAATGGGAAGGGTGAAATGATGGATGATAAGACCTCAATTCTAACGACTGAATATGACGTTTCGCGGATGAAGGAAGACAACAGTTTCATGTTTCCATTGTGGAAAGATAAGCAGCCCATGAGATCTGGATTCGTTCATGGACGTTGTTGGCGCTTTCTTAAAGCGCACACTTTACCAGCTGAGTTACGAGGTCACATCAGTTGATCTTCTCCGATCTGGATCACTCATCCAGGCAAAAGGAATTCATAAGTTCCTTTGAATTTACGATTGAACTCTTCGAGCTGACTTGTTTAATTGAACCCCAGAGGGGTCCTAATTTATCAGATTGATATCTTCAATTATCCGCTCAACAGGGTAATTTGACGGAATATCTAAGCTTAAAAAGTTCATTCGATGGATTCCGGTGGACGCTAGGAAAAACTGCCATGGTAGGTTACTTGTAGGTAGTGGTGTAGAATACTGATTTTGAAAACCAATCCTCCAGACTTCGTCTTCGAGGACGATCCTCAACTCATCCGATGAAGCATCATACATTCGAGAAGCAACAGACTGAGTTTTCGCCTTGCTAAGTCAATTGTTCATATCCAAAAGGATTTATACTTCGGTCCCCCATCGTACAGAAGGCATTTAACCAAGATACCAACCAAATCACACTCGGGGCAGACTGTAATTGTCCATATAAATGCTTTTTTTAAATTTTCAGATGTGGTCTTTACTGACAATCAGTCAGTTCACGTGGCACTGAAGCTAATCCCAGACGGGCCGGAGGATATACACTACTGATGAACTTTGCCTTCGAAATCCGCAGTATGGTCGGGGGTGGATAATTGGGTTTGCGGCTGGTCACCCTTCCGCTGCACCTGGCCAAATGCTCCCATACGACCAAGCGTCTCACATAGCTTCTGCTGAGGAAGTCCTAGTTCCTGCCTTCCGGTGGGGTGGGTGTTTTCCCACCAAGGTGAGAGGACGGAAAACCAACGTCCGGGGCTATAACCAGGTTGGTGGACCACTGGCAGTTCACCCAGGGGAGTTGCCCAAAAACTCTGATTCCGAACCAACCAAGAGGAGGCGTACGAACCACACACAACTTCCTGGTTGTGGTGTTCGTGGTCAACGGCTCGATTGGGCATCGAGGTGCATTGGGCACCTTGGACCTTTGACCCCGTCCGAAAGGCGTTCGATCCGATTAACTGGACACCGGCCCCCAATGGATTGCGGTTTTCACACATCATCCCGCCTTGCGGGTCAGGCTTTGGCTAGTCGAAGGCTCCGGTTGTGAATTCGTCAAGAAAATTCACATGTCTCGGTCCGGGAAACCCGGCTGTATTCGGCCCACATGCAAACCATGGAATGTTTTTCTTTTTTATAAAGATTATTTTACCATGATTTGTTTGACACATACAGTCTGGCCTCAGACGGGTGTGAAATACAAATACATACTGACGGACTTTCGTCAGAGAGCAAAACTGGAGTATTGTGATACCTGTGTGTGTGTGTGTGTGTGACCGTTACTCAATGAACTATGTAATAGGCGAGATAAAATATGAGGAACAGTCTCGATCGATTCCTTTTAAAACTATCTTAATGTTGTGCGTGTGTGTGTGTAATGATGGAATGGCATTATTCCAAAGCACAGCTTCATCACTAAAGACAGCAGTGAACTGCTGACAGAGGTCAGGTGAACTTACTTTTTTCGCTTTTCGACCAAGTTCAGCGAGCATTTTCGGATCGTTCGCATCTGCAGATCAAGAATCAGGGTCGAGGTAGGAGAATATGTCCGAGGGCGGGGAACCGGGGGGGAGGGGAGAGTAAGACAACAATACAGCGTTTCAGACGAGAGGTGAACAAAATTCACACCGGGAACGATAGCTATCGGTCGTCGATAGCCAATCGCTCGGACATACGACTGTTAGGCTGCGAAGTGACCTAGTGTTTGCGGGTGTTAGAATGCGCTTGTAATTAAAACGCTAGTTCTGAGATTTGAGTTACAAAAAAAAAAAGAATTTGATTAGTCACTACTACGAATATTAAGCTGAAATGAGAGCAATGCATTTGAATACGTGTTAGAAACCGACTTTGCGTCAACTGGGTGTCAGTCATAAAGTCAGATCAAAACGTGTACAAGTGAATTGAAAAAGGTTGATTCGAGTGGAGCTGAGTTCACAGAAAATAGAGCGCGGATGGGGGCGGGTCGAGGAGAGCAGATGGAAAAATGTGGACGCGCTACAGTATATAGATAGAAAGCTACAATCTGTGAGATCGGATAACTGACACAACACTTGCAGGTGGATCAGAATCACTAAACGAATTAAATAATAGCACGGTGGGGTGAAAAGACAACAAGCCAGCCAGTGGGCGATGGGAACAATTCGAGACTGGATACGGAATTCATAGACAATCAGAAGAGCAAATGCGAAATGTGAAAGATGAGCGAGTTTTCGCGGTATTCGGATAATCAGATCTCGAAATGGGGCATGGCTGTCCAATCCGCAATCTCACACAAACCAACCGTTTTCCAGCACGTTCGGGTATGGTGCAAATTTAACTGGTCACACAATGTCAACCGGAGGGAGTCACAGTTTCGTACTCCGGCAATCCATTCACGAGAAACGGAATGCGCCAAAACAGACCGCCACACAATACCGGTAGAACTAGGAAAACGGGACTTTACGTATAGTATGCATGGTATGAGGTAAAAAGAATGCACACCATTGGATCAATTTGGGTGTGACGTGAACAAGTGATAGCAGTTATTTAAGTAGTATAAATCGCTGTCATTGGTTTTGGAACTCTTCAAACACCATCCAACTTTGATGGTAGTCAGTTTGTCTTTCGTCTATCCCCCACTGGGACCGGACAAAATGCGTTAGAGCAACGTCCCGAGCATATAGGTCGGCAGCTCGCACAACACAACACACAATAGGCTTTTGGGTTTATGAAGATTGTCTCTTCTACTGCTCACCATACGACGTGAGTGAGTGAGTGCGATCAGTGAAAAAGCACAATTCGCTCAGGAAAAACAGGCTGATTGGTGTCCATACAGACAAAGTGACTCTTTCTCAAAACTGGGGGCGGATAGAAAGTTTGGTTGAACAAATGACTTTGACCAGATTAGCCAGAGTTCCGGGAATCGATTTATGGTAAACACTGATTTTTCTCTTCCATTACCAACAGCACTCGAATAAGACAGAGTATGGAGCTACTATATTGTAAGACAGTGACGCACTCATACTTGACCAATCATCTTGGGCTGGTAGGTTTTGGGTGAGATGATGTAGCGATCACAAGCGGAATTCATCTAATCAGTTGGGAGCTGGGGAAAAAACATACTATCTTTGAAACCTGGTGCTATAACGCATATTGGTAACCTAGTGACGTACATAAATTTGTGGTCAAACAGGAACACAACGGGTGGAGGGGGGGTGAGAGAAAGCTTGCAGGGTGGATAGAAACAATCCTGCGTGAGCGGTGTGGTGCATTACAAATCAGGACGATATCCTGTGACAATGAAGCAGAGACTCCGTAACCCCCAGAATCCGAGCAGTGATGTAAATCGAGAAGTCGGTACGGTGAATGAGAAGAGCACTTCAAAGGTGACAAACGAATACAGAAACCTGTAAATGCTTATGTCACTTACTCACGAAATCTGTGTTGGCGCGTGTGTATTGTGTGTGTGTGTACAAAAGAGCAACGGACAAAGGATTAAATGAATATTGCACTCAACCACTCACACACATTAAAAAACCTCGGATTACTGTTGGGTTGCCTAGGGATGAACATGGTGGACAATCTCGAGCACAAATCCCGGAAGCGTGAGAACACAGCGGGCAAATGAAACCATTTTTCAAGGATTCTGGCCTGTGGATATGCCCCACTTCCGATCTGATTTACAATATTTCTTTCGTGGACATTCGGCGTGAGCGCGACAGAGAGAGAGATGGTGTAATCAAACAAAAACGAAACTAATCATTCGTCATTTTTCAGGTGATTCGTGATTTCTATACCATCAATAACGAAGAATGCGTGTGTGCTGGCGCGCTGTAGCAACGAACTAAGACTGTGATTCCCGTGTGCTGCAATCACCTTCTTTCTCTGAAGGAGAAATCTGTTAAAAATCGGGTCCCAATTAAGCGATTCAATACAGTTTGTACAACAACAGCACTTCCGTACGCTGGTTACTCCACTGGATTTGGATTGCCCACTGAGTTGACTAACCGAGGAAGAAACTCAGCATAATAAAATAAAACGAGGAGAACAGTACCTGGATGAAAGGGCTACCGAGTATGAGCAAGTTAAACGTATGCATGAAACGAGTCCGATGCCCGATACACAAACACACACACGAACACGTTTTCTCCAATCTACGATTAAACCGGTCACTAGGTTCTAAATGGGAAAGCATGACGCGGTCTACATGATCAAGCCTCATGGTTCTCATACTTTCATACCAAGTCGTTTGGTGGTTCAAATACATAACAGTGCATACTTAAGATTGTGAAAGGGGTTTTGTCAGTATTCGAACACTGCGGTCTACGTCGCATTGAACACGATTGGCATTTGCCAACTTGAGACATCTGCGGAGCCGTCGAGATATCCGGCTCTCTATTAGAGGCGAGCGTATGCTGCGACAGTTCGGCCAGTTCTGCTATACGGCGCAGAAACTTGACCATTGAAGAAACAGGATAAAGATAGACTGTCAGTGTTGGAACACCACCGTCTACGCAGCATTGCACGAATCTGGTGGAGCAGCCGAACGAGCAATGATGAGATCAGGCGCAAAGTTTTAGATAAATGCGGTCGCCCAATGAAGCAAGTGGTCGACCTCCATAGATTACGCTGGTTGGGACATGTGCTACACATGTCACCAGATAGGTTGCCACGGCGAACGATGTTTGCCAAGGCCGGTAGCGATTGAAAAAAACGAAGGGTGGTCAAGCTAAGACCTTGCATGAGGGTATGAAAACCCTAACCAGGAGACTAGGTCACATAGGTCCCGTTAGGCTCCCGGGTTAGGGACCCCAAGATCACAGCCACCACTGGTTAGAGACACTGAGAGATACGGCTGGGTGTCGCAAACAGTGGTGCTCATGCAGCTACTCATTATTCTTGCAACATCAGTCTATAAAAATTCGCTATCTTCCGTTTGAATTTGCTCTCTACATTCTTATCTTCGTTCTGCTCTTTTATCCAAATGGGCGACCAAAAGACAGCAAACAAAACCGGCGCAAGAAAGTGCGCGATTAATGATGGTAGAATTCCCTGAAAATTTGTGTTGATGGTTGTAATAGAGGACCCGCAATAACTGTGCAGCCAAACAAGATACGAGCGCGTCATTGGATTTTGCACGGATCGAGCAAATGTTCTATTGTGAAAACGAATCAAAAAAGGGCAAAACCGGGCCCCGATGTCACAGGTATTGATTGCATCGCATCTTCAAGGATGGATGAATAAACTGTGTAAGGCTATGAAGTAACACTTGGGTTAGTCGGACCGAAATGTCCGCAAAAATCACACGATTTTAAACAATCGGATAGCAGGTGTAATAGATGCAATAAATAAAAAAACACTAGAACACTTTCTGCACTACTAGTTTTTCTTGTAATTTGTGGACCGCGGTCGCACCGAGGTCTTTTAGTTGCTGGTTCATTTCAGATAACCAACCGTCTTTGGATGATTAGACGGTGACTGTTCCTGCACAGATCGTGGGACCAAGTGAGCCCGATACCGATCAATCTGGTTCGGATCGCCAGGACTGCGGCTTCACCGAAGTGAAATGTATTGTTTGATTTGTTGCACCACAATCGCCACTCCCCATTTAGTGATACTTAGTTCCGCTGAGCATGAGAGCGTGGCTGTTGTGAATCAGTCTTTTTTTTTTTGAGCAAAGAAATGATGATTTAGTGTTTCGTAACGTTCTCCACGAACGGATCACATCACAATAGAGACTGTGAGACAGAAGAGATCCAAGCTGATTCCAAGCGCATTGACCACGCTCTTACTACTCAACCGTGTGACATTAAGCACCACCATCATGCACTAAAAAAAGATACATCGATGCCAAGATGGAATATTGATCTAAAAGTGCGATCGATTATGTGCAAATAGTGTCAGGGGCAGCCGTCCCTAGTCTTTGTTAGGAGGCGAAACTGCCTAAACGAGATCTGTGTCGGCAGGTTAAAGGTGATTGTTTCGGGTCGGAGGGGGGGGGGAAGGGAGAAAGAGAGTAAAGTTACTGAAATGATTCCATTCTGAGACGACTTGAGTAAAGTTATTCTAATGAGGACCGGGTTGGTTCTTTTCAATAGCTTTGGTCGTCTGGACAATGAGCCTGCGATGACACAGGTCTACTGGTTTACCTTTTTTCGGTTATACACAAAATAACTAGAGTTTACTATATCGCAAGACCACGGGAATGAACAGGGACTAATTCACAGAAGAGAAAATAAGAAGTTTCATTAAGGTGAGCCGAGAACAACATATGCAAGCAAAACACCCAGGAGAGTGTGTGTATGTGGGGGGGGGGG